ATAAATAAATAAATAAATAAATAAATAAATAAATAAATAAATAAATAAAGTGCATCCAGGAGAGGCTGCCTATTGGCCAGGCTGCCGCCACAGACAGGGAGGAAGGACAGATGGAGGCTGGAGGGGCGGGAGGTGAGGTGGCATTGGGGTGTGGCAGATGGACATGTGCCAAAGTGCTCAACAGAGAAGGTTCGGTCCACCTGGCTCCTCGATTTCCTGTGGTCCCTTGACATTTCTGAGCTTCCAGTTCCCTTCAAGGCAGTGACTGACAGTTGTGAAGTTTGAAGGAAAGTCGAACATCTCTCAGGATGTTACGTTTCCCTACATTTTTAATTTTATAAAATTACCACAAAAGATCCCAACATGGTTTCCGGACTTTTCTCTTGCACTTCTGGGCATGTGTAGATCTGGTGCACCTTTCTTCCTGTGTATGGTCTACACATAGGACACATACTTTTGCTTCTTACCTGCCATGTCTCAGAAGGTTCCCATAGTTCCTATCTGGTTCATGGAAGAAGAGAGGCCAGAGGCCAGGGCTCCCCTGAGTCTAAAGGTCCAGGAGGAACTGGCAGCTGCAAAGTCCCGGGCACCTAATTGTGACTTCCAGATAAACATGGATATCTTACTAGTCATATTCCAAGTAATGCTGAGGTCATACTTATACAAAACCCTCCCTTTGGGCTGATGTTCTAGAATTGTAGTTAAATTTCCAGCCCTGAACCATAAAAGGGACAGATGGGGGGTGGGGGTCAGATGTACTGTCCGAGAGGTACTGTCCAAAGTGGAGACAGAATAATACAGTCTGATAACAGTAGTGTTACAGCAAGACTAGGCTGTGGAGTTCGGGAAGGTCTCAGGATCCAGGTGTTTCCATAGAGCTTTCAATAGTACGGACAAGATCCCATCACACACTGCACTGTGAGCAGTGCAGGAAAGGTTCATGTCTCAGACAGCTCAGGAGACACTGAGCTTGGTGAAGACATCGTCCACTGGGATGATTCCCCAAATACTGCACAGGAAGCCCATTCCTTACTCCCTGCCAACTTCATTAGTTAGACCCAGATTCTTGTGCCCAGATTCCTCTCTAGATCAGGACCCAAGTTCCCCAAACACAGGAAAGTCTGGGGTCTCCAGTGGGATTCAAGCGTGTGAGAGCAGGAACTCTAGGCACTGAGCACAGCGAAGGTGACACCTGACAGATAGGACCCTGTACCCTCTACTCTGTACCCAATACTCTGTGGGTACTAGGGATGCTGTGGGGTGTGTGGGGTGTTGTCGATGTATGTTCTGAGCTCTTGGGAGATGGGTGTGCAAGAGGGCCAGCAGGATCCTGAGAGTTAGCCTTTGGGCCTGACCTCTTTGGGACTCTGTGGCCTTCAGGGCACTGATCCTCCACAGAGGTGCCAGATTAGATCAACCTGGCTGTTGATCAACAATCAATCGCTGTATTTCTACACTAGGCCTTCCTGGACTTAGAACCCCACAACTAGACCCCGAAAGGTCTTTTAAATCTCAGTGATGGGAAATGCCCAGAAGTAAAGGGATTGGTCCTGGGACAAGAAGGCCAAAGAGTCAAAGCTTGTGTAGCAAAGGACATCATGTCCTGCCAGATAGGTCCACAGCAGGCCTCAAGCCTTTAGTACCCAAGCATCTCACTCAACCAGAATGGCCCATGACCTGGCAGCTGGTGACTGCTGAGTCTAACTTCCATCCATCCTCTTAGTTGTCATTTACTTCACCAGAGGCCCCCAAGTCTGAGTTCTGGGCTCACCCCAGCTTGCTTGCCCCACAGTCTTCATCCCGTCGATCTGGCCTTTGCTGCTCCAACTGCCACACTGCCACCACCACGCTCTGGAGGCGCAATGCAGAGGGCGAACCAGTGTGCAATGCCTGTGGCCTCTACATGAAGCTCCATGGGGTGAGTTGCTGCCTCAGTCTAGAGTCACGTGGTTGCTCCTCCTCGCCAGCGACACAGGATGGCCCTCGGCCCCTGGCTTGAACATGTTCTGGGAATGTTCCACATATGTTGGCTGTCTGCATACCCACTCTTCTGGGAGACCAAGCTCTTGCCTCCACATCTGCTGTACAGACCTGCCCACTGAGGGAGCTCAGGGAGCTCCCCGGGGTTTTTCAGCCTAGGATAAATGCTGGACACCCAAATCTTGCCCTCTCTGCACTCCACCCCTGCTTCTTGGCTCTCAGGCAGATGGGATGGTACCCAAAGGTGGAGCTGCAGGTCAGCTCAGCATCTAAGAGGGGACTGGCTCTCCAGGGTAGTTCAGGAAGGTGACTGTTCAAGGACCCAGGGGTGAGCAGGGACAAGGAGCAGCCACCTACTCTTGCTGTCCCTGGCAGGTGCCAAGGCCACTAGCAATGAAAAAGGAGAGTATCCAGACAAGAAAACGGAAGCCGAAGAACCCTGCCAAAATCAAGGGCTCCTCAGGTAAGCAGGAAGCTGGAGGGGTCATTCCCAGGCCTCCAAGTCTCTGTCTAATGCAGCCCCTGATGGATGTCCTTAGCCTTGCTGGGAAAGGGACACATGGACAGATGTGGGGTGGATGAAGCTATACCTGACCCTCCAGCATTCAGTGATGTGTGACTTTAAGAAGTCTCTGAACCTCTCTGGACAAGGACAGGAGAATTAACCACATGGGAAATATGGTCAGATGTGACACCTTCTGTAAATGTTCCCCCCTTCCCTCCCAGGATCCACAGCGAACACCAGAGCCTCTTCTCCCACTCTCCTCAACACCGAGAGCTCAGCCACCACTTTGAAGGCAGAATCCAGTCTGGCATCTCCAGTATGTGCTGGACCCACTATCACCTCCCAGGTAAGGAGGATGAGGCAGGGGAGTGTAAGAGATAGATCCTCGCACTTCTCTGGAGAACCTTGGCTCTTCACCAACTTCAATCCCATCAAAGCCCCCAATACCCCTCTCAGAGCTTCACTGTACACATGGCCCTCAACCACCAATATGGTGGCCTCTTCCTCAGAACTGTGTGTGGCATGGTCCAGGGCCCTGCCGGTCTTCGTAGTCCTGCTCCTCAGTGGACTTTGTGTTCATTCTAGACCGAGGAGTCCTTGGAGCAAATCACCCTATGCCATGCCTCCCAGTCCCAGAGAGGTGGTAGACTCCTCCATACTCTGTCCATCCCCTCTGCAGGCCTCCAGCCCAGTGGACGAATCCCTGGCCTCCAGCCATTTGGAGTTCAAGTTTGAACCTGAAGACTTCGCCTTCACCTCCTCATCCCTGAGCCCCCAGGCTGGTCTCAGTGGGGTCCTACGTCAGGAGGCCTGGTGTGCCCTAGCCTTGGCCTAGGTGCTCAAGAAACTGTCACCACAGTACATTCCAGGAACAGAAGTTAGTTCCTGAACCAGCAGCCCCAGAGGTCCCTCACCACTGTGCTGGGGAAATTTTCTGTGCTGATTGCCTAGAGAGAGAAGCAGGCTGGTGGATGAAGGGTTGGAGCCTCAGCTGGGGTAGAAATGGACTCCCCAGACCTTTCACGGACCTCTCTGCAGCCAAGATGACTGGAGATACCCACCAATTACTTGAATTCAGCTCTTGACATCGATGGTCAAAATTTACAGTTTGTAGCAGCTGGCAAAGGTTCACAGCATCCCACAGTAAAATCTGATCCAAGTGAAACAAACATACTCCAGGCAGGCAATAAGAAACAGGGCCTCTGGGCCCTCGAGGTCTTCGTTTCCCATGTTTGACTCTGTACGGCTGAGAGAGCACCTTCTTGCTTACGGATGCAGGATTGCTGGAGACCAGTGTACAGGTTGAGCACCGTACCAGGACACCGCCCTGAGGCAAACGCATCCCTCAGGCCATCATCACAGACTTCTGTATTTATTTGTGTGTTTCCAGACCGGGCAGTAAAGGGCCTTGTTCTGGCAATCTGTGTACTAAGGCGTTTGCTAGTAGGCAGACCTGCACAGAGACACTGTTGGAATTGGGGGACATGTGGCCTTGTGGCCTGGCTCAGCCATCATCCCAGTAGTTGGCCACAGCCCTATTTGTAGCATCCTCTTCATGCCAGATTATGCCAGCTGGTGATGACTCTGCCCAAGGCCTGCAGGTCAGTTCTAGGGCCCTGGTGCAGGCAGGAGAAGGCAGAGGTATTCTGTAGGCCACATTTCCACAGGCCTTATTGCCATTGGCTGCCTCCTGGCCTTCCCAGGTTTCCACCCCGCAGTGAGGAAACCAAGAAGCAAGGGATCAAGGGGGTCATCCAAACATGAAGGCCACCCCTAACCTGTCTCCTGTGGACCCTCAATCCTTCCATCCAGTTCAGCTTGAGGGAGAGGCAGTGGACCCTGGTTAGAAGTAGTAAATCAAGGGGTAGTCGCATTTGCAAGCATCACAGGGGCAAAGGCAAGACATGCTCCTGCCACTAGCTCTGAGCAGGCGTACCTCACCACCCATGTATCTGTGGAAGGCAAAGCCAGCTGCCTAGGTGTCTATTATCATACCCCAGATACTGGGGTCAGGAGAAGGAGGGGACTAGAGACCCTGACACAGGTGGCGCCGTGTGAGTATCTCCAAGCACCCACACACCAAGTGTGCACAGATGCAGAGCAGACCATGGCAGCTGTGTGAGGCTTTGCACAAGTTCTGAGCACCATGACCTCACCCCAGTGCTGTTCCTAGGAGCTCTGTTTGTCCTAGCCTCAGTTTCCCCTTCTGTGATGAGAGAGGTATCTATGATCACATCCATAGCTCATGCACCTTTGAGGTGGTACAGGGTACTCACCAACCTAGGGAAGCTTCCTGGAGACAGCCACAGTGCAAGGCACAAGGCAAATGGCATCCCCTTTGGATGGAGAGGAAGGGAACTCAGGAGAGAGAGGCAGGTAGACATGAGATTCCCTTCCATGTCAGTTTCTCTGCGCTCTCTCTCTCTCTCTCTCTCTCTCTCTCTTTCTCTCTCTCTCTCTCTCTTTCTTTCATTTGTTTTGTTCTGTTATTTTAAGACAGGGTCTTACTATGTAGCTCTGGGTGTCCTGGAACTCATTATGTAGACCAGGCTGGCCTCAAACTCACAGAGACCTGCCTGCCTCTGCCTCCTGAGTGCTGGGATTAAAGGCATGAGCCACCACACCTGGCTTCCTTTTGCTTTTCATTTTTTAATTTATGTATTTTATCTGCATGAGTGCTTTGCCTGCACGTGTGTGTGTGTGTGTGTGTGTGTGTGTGTGTGTGTGTGTCACATGTGTGCCTGGTGCCTCTGGATTGATCCCCTGGCACTGGGGTTGCAGGTGTTGGGAACCATCTTGTGAATGCTGAGAACTGAACAGATCATCTGAAGAGACAGCAAGTGCTCCTAACCACCAAGCCGAGCCGTTTCTCCAGCTCTCTTATTCTGTATCTTAACTAAGGAGCTGACTGAGGTGAAGAAGGCTGTAGGTCCGTCACTGGGAGTGGTTACTGCTGCTAAATTTGAGCGTTCTCCTCTTCAGGCGGAAGCCAGTGAACCAAGTCCTTAATATAGCTACCAAGAACCCCACCACTGCCCTTCCTCCTGCCTCCCATCCTCATCCTGCCCACTGATCATAAACCACCAGATGAGCTAGCTGTACACTTGCTTGGGCCAGAGCAACCGAGGGGCTTATCTGAACAGCAGAATGGAAAGGAAGGTCCAGTTGTCTACTGCCTGTAGTACATTCCATCACCCCAGACCCTGAAGCAGAAAGGGACACAATTCCCTGAGTCTGTCCCTTCCTGCCCAAAATACTTCCTGGGCCCTCATTATTTGTTCTGGGCAGCCCAAGGAAGGAAGGAAGAAGACCCATGCAAAGAAGAACACATGGGGCACAGAGGTGGGGAAACCAGGGTCCCATCCATCGGAGTGTCTTGCCAGAACTGATGGGCAGAGCCCTCCCACCATGGCCCTGTCCCATGGCTGGAGCACAGCAGACAGGCACTCCTCCTCCAGGCTGATACGATACACTCTTCCACTATTCTGGGGCTCCAGCTTATGTTAGTGTGTTCTCTGTGGATGCAGGGTGAAACTGACCTCATCAGCCACCAGACCTTGAGAGCTGTCCTACACCAGGAAGCCAAATGCTGATTGTATTGCCTCAGCATTGAACTGGGACCTAAGCTTGCCGGGGTACAGCCCAAACAAAGGCTGAAAGTTTCTTAAGCTAAAAAGGATAAGCCTGTCCGAAAGTAGAGCAAATTCTCCCAGGTGCTCATCTGAAAGCCTGAAGTCTCAGAAAGGACAGCTTAGGGGAGGAGGCACGTGGAGGACAGTAGGACCAAGTAAGGGCATTTCTTAGAACAGACCACTTGCTACTGTCAGCAGCGTTGTGTAGATCTCAGCAAAAGGCGCCATGTTGCAGAAGGGTCACTGACCATCCATCCACAAGGTCCTTGCCACTGTCCTTTGTCACAGTCCTGTAGAACAGTTCTAGGGGCTCAGGCAGCATTCCCTAAGGTAAGGTAAGGGGCCTAGGTGGGCAGGTAAGAGCTGAGGCTCCGTGGTCCCAGTTTCCTGTGTTTTGTCAGACATGGGCCTACAGCTGGGAGGCCCTCAGAGTCCCTCTAATGCCTCTAAAAATAGGCCTGAGACAGCAGTAGAAGGATCCAGCCTTCTGTGGGACTCAGCTAGGGTAGGGACACCAGCTAGCCGGGAGACTCAAAAGTGTCCGCCGCACCTCCAGTTCCACCCTTGTGTAGCTTAGAGTGTGCCACGTCTCACGTTACCCTATATTAACGCCAAACAACCAACCAGGCCAGACCTATCCCATGCGTGGATCATGTGATCCAAGAAACTAAGCCCCTACTGTGTCCCTTTTACTCCCTGTCCTCTACAGGATGAAGTGAGGCCAGAGAGACTTAGCTTCCTGCAGCCGGCAGGCTTTGGGCAGAGCAGTTGTGATGCTTGAATCTCCTATACAAACACTTGGGTAGGGGCTGACCCTGGCCTCAAAGGGGAGGGGGCTGACTAAGCCCTTCACGAGTAGCCCCCTCCCCTCTGGGCCCCCTCACGCCGCCAAGATGTTGACACGGACGGCTCCAGCCGTCTTATTTATTATCTGATAAAGCAAGCTCGGCACCACTGGTGGACAGCGTCTGGCCGCTCTGAGCTGACCAGCATGGGGGAGGAGGAAGGCGGTACTGACAGAGACAGGAGCCCCAGCCTCACCCTAGGACAGGCCTCCGCCCTGGACTCTGGGACAAGCAACGTCTTCTCCTCCCCCACCATTGGCCATCTGGAAAGGATCTCTCTGCCTGTCATATGCACCTGAGCCTGTGCCCACGTCTGCAAAACTCTGCTGCCTCTGGTTCCCAAATCTTCCAGCTGAGCCCTTCCTCCCTGTGTGCCTGGCACCCAATTACTGTTGCTGCCTGTCCTCCACACCCTGCATTTGGCCTGGAGCTCAGACTTTCCATGAGCAGGTTCAGGCCTGCTTCTTTGCCTCCAAACACTACTCCTTCGAGATTCAACTCTGCAGGGATGCCTAGGCCCCAGGAACCCCAACCCACTATTCCAGGGACACACTGTTGACTAGGCCCCAGGAACCTGGCCCTCCATTCCCCTCTCCAAGCAGCTGTATTTACTCTCAGGTACAGGGGACTCTCGCCAGCATCCAAATGCATCTAGACCTTTGCTTTATCCTGCCTGACTCTAATGCCCTTCCTGACTCTCGTGTGTCTAACCAGTAACTTGGGCACTAAGTAGCCTCCTCTTCCTCCTCCCCCTCCTCCTCCTCCCCCTCCTCCTCTTCTTCTTCCTCCTCTTCCTCCTCCTCTTCCTCTTCTTCCTCCTCCTCCTCTTCTCCTTCCTCCTCTTCCTCTTCTTCCTCCTCCTCCTCCTCCTCCTCCTCCTCCTCCTCTTCCCCCTCCAGTACTTGTGAAGAATTAAGTAAGTGGGATCAATAGAGTCCTGCCACCATACTTGGAGGTCAAGTGCCCCAGCCAGCTCCAGAGGCCTCTTGTAGACAAACCAGCATAATCATACATACACACCTGTGTGTATTTGTGGACCTGGGCATTGCAACGTGAGGTGAAAAGTTCCCCTTTTGCTCTGAACAAGATCCCATGAGACTACCTCCCACTAGGAAATGCTGTTTTGGGGTCTCCAACAGAGATCCATCATCTGTCATCCCAAGGCTGTCCTTGGGCAGGGGAAACATGGTAGATATTCAAGAAAAGGGAATCTGATAATTACTAGAGGGACTATGTGTAGCTGCGCCCTTAAAATTCAGAGTTCCAAAACCAGGTATGTGCCTTTAGTCACAGCACTCCAGAGGCAGAGGCAGGCAGATCTCTGTGAGTTCGAGGCCAGGCTGGTCTGCAGACATGGCAACACAGAGAAACCCTGTTTGAAAATCAAAACAACAAACAAAAAACTAAAAAAAAAAAAAAAAAAAACAATTATTTTTATTGAGTTGTAATATTTTGTTTGTTTTTTCTTTTATTCTTTCATACATTACATCCTAACTGCAGTTCCCCTCCCTCCACTCCTCCCAGTCTCTACCCCTTCCTGGGCGCCCCCCCCCCCCCCCCCCCCCCTTTGTTTCCCTTTGGAAAAAAAAAAGAGAAGACCTCCCAGGGATATCCACCAAACATGGCATAGTAAGTTACAATAAGACCAGGCACAAACCCTCACATCAAGGCTGGATGAGACAACCCAGCAGGAGAAAAAGGATCCCAAGAGCAGCCAAAAAGAATCAGAAACACACCCCACTCCCACTGTTAGGAGTCCCCACAAGACACCAAGCTGTACAATTATAATGCATATGTAGAGGACCCAGCTCAGACCCTCAGGGTCCGTGTTTGTTGCTTCAGTCTCTGTGAGCCTCTGTGAGTCCTGCTTAGCTGATTCTTTGAGTTGTATTCATGTGATGTCCTCCACCCCTCTGGCTCCTACAGTCCTTCCTCCCCT